GTCATCTTTGTCTTCTCTGTATCCGAGAATTTGGTTGTGTTCATCACTCTGAGGACTGACTACAATGCACTGCGGGGCCATTCAGACAAGGGGCAACTTTTCGTTGCCATTCAATGTGCTGCGGTGCTATCCAAACAAGGGGTAACTTTCCGTTGCCATTCAAAACGCCCCAGTGTCATTTCAAACAAGGGGCAACTTTCCGTTGCCATGCAGTGTCCTTCAGACAAGGGGCAATTTTCCATTGCTGTGGGTCCGAGGTTGTGCATCTCAAGAGTAGGTTCCGCGCTCGTTGAGCAGTGGTCGTTTGCAAAAATAGTTTTTGAGAATTTTTACTGAGGTTGAATAATTTTCTCGAAAATTGTTCCATCTTTTCCAAAAACTGGACCATTTCTTGGACCCAAAAAGGAAAATTTTCAGTGCTCATAGCCTGACTTGCATGATTTCAAATCAAAAATCGAACAAGTGTGCTAATCTAACTCTCATGTTGGTCAAAATTGTTTTAGTAGAAAACCAAAACAAAAAATGGTCAAAATAATGAACTAGGGGCACAGTTGAGTCAGGCTTCCTGTCTTTTCCCTGTTGTCAATGCATTTTCCAGAAAGGGCACTCTACTTGCCAGAAAGGGCACAACTGAAGTCAAAGGGCTGAAAGCTCTCTTATCCTCCAAGCAACGAGGTATCAAGACAAGTGCGAAGCACGAATTGGAATGGGGCGAGATATTCCACTCCCTCATCTCGACAGATCTGATCATGCCCGAACTTCCCAGCAGAGCATCATCAACTGATGTCAGCTACAGATTTGCTACATACCCAGTTGTAGCGCAATTCCTCTGTGGGAGGAATTCACTAGCTGTGCGCAGAAGAAACAGAATCTAGCAGAATGCTAGGGGCAAGAGCCCGCAACTTCTTGTTTATCCATCAACCACCCAGGGGAGGGATAAAAAATGAGAGATTAAAGAATGGAGAAATGTGCGCTAAGAGAAAAAGTGAGGAAAAGGGTTTTGTGAGAAAAGCCGAGCCTGAGGGCCGAGTGATGTGAGAATCACAAATAAGAAAGGGTGGGAAATAATATCTAGAGAAACTGGCTCCTCGCGTACGGTGACGTCTCTCCTTTTTGTAACATGTCTGTGTGTCATGTCTCTCGTTTTGTTTGTCTCGATTCTTGCTTTGAGTCGTTCCGAGCGTGTCTCGATGTGTTTAGGTTGTTTTACCTTGTTTTTCCTTTGTTGAGTGGTGTTTAGGTTGTGTGCCTTTTATTTTCGTGTTGAGTTGTCTTGCTGTGTTCAGTCGTAGGCTCAATACCGGGTCGAAAACTCATCTCTCAATTTCAAAAATAAAATAGTTTTGTGCTCAGAGTGCTGTGCCATTCTTCACGTTTGTGCAAAACAAGATTCGTTCTTTCATAAAACCGCACGGTTCAACCCAGGTCATGTGAGAACAGTAAAATCAGGATCTATCTGAAGCCATATGGGTTCCAGACTGCAAAGCAAAAGAAAAGAGGGAAAATCGAAGCATCTGAGTGTGGTTCACCTTCAGTAAATTTCGTGATTGTACTTCGGATGTACCTCCTCAGGCCTTGTCACTACTCTGAAGCATGAGTGTATCTCGGCCCCAAGCTTAAGCCTGCTGCAAGTCAGAATGGCAATTAAAGCAGCAGTAGGTGTTATCTCTCGCCAATATGAACAAAGTGTGCCCTTTTTGAGCTAAGTGTGTTGCAAAGTCCTCTAAGAGGTAAATCAGAGGCACCAGAGTACATATTTGATGCTCCTCTACTGCACAGAATGTGAACTTTCATATACACTGTTGTTGCATGTGTGCCGCTCATCGTTATGATTCATGCATAGAATATGCTTGCTTTCGATTCCACATAGAATATGCTTTGTTTGTTTCTGCATAGAATATGCTTCCAATGTTGCATAGAAAATGCCCCCATACTTGCATGGAAAATGCGTTTTATCGCACTGTCTTGTGCACCTACATTGCATTGTTTTGCGCGCTCCTTTGTTTGGAAACATTGGGATACGTCTCTATGTTTCTCTCTTCTTTCGAAACACCGGGATACGTCCCTACATTTACCTTTCTCCTTCTTTTCCGAAACACCGGGATGCGTCCCTATGTTTTTTCTTCCATTCCAAAACAACGAGATATGTCCCTATGTTTCTCCTCTTCTCTGAAACACCGGGATGCGTCCCTATGTTTCTTCTTCTTTGTCGAAACACCGGGATAAGTCCCTATGTTTCTCCTCCTTGTTCGTAACTTTGGGATACGTCCCTAATCTTTGGGATGCGTCCCTAATCTTTGGGATGCGTCCCTAATCTTTGGGATGCGTCCCTAATCTTTGGGATACGTCCCTAATCTTTGGGATACGTCCCTAATCCATGGGATACGTCCCTAACCTTTGGGATGCGTCCCTAATCTTTGGGATGCGTCCCTAATCTTTGGGATGCGTCCCTAATCCTTGGGATGCATCCCTAATCTTTGGGATGCATCCCTAATCTTTGGGATACGTCCCTAACCCTTCGGAAACGTCCCTAACCCTTGGGAAACGTCCCTAACCTTTGGGATACGTCCCTAGGTTTCTCCCTCTTCGGTTAAAAGCGTTCGAAATACTTTCCAATGCTCACACCATTCCGAAACATCGGGATATGTTCTTATGTTTCTCAATCTTCGGTTAAAAGCGTTCGGAATACGTTCCAATGCTCACACCATTCCGAAACACCGGGATACGCCCCTATGTTTCTCCATCTTCGGTTAAAAGCGTTCGGAATACGTTCCAAAGCTCACATCATTCCGAAACACCGGGATACGTCCCTAGGTTTCTCCCTCTTCGGTTAAGAGTGTTCGGAATACGTTCCAATGCTCACACCATTCTGAAACACCGGGATTCATCCCTATGTTTCTCCCCCTTCGGTTAAAAGCGTTCGGAATACGTTCCAATGCTTATACCATTCCGAAACACTGGGATAAGTCCCTATGTTTCTCTCTTTGTCCCCCTTCCTCACACGATTTCAGCGTGTCTGGAATTTATCTTAGGATGCATGGAGCGCGCTCCTGATTAATTTTCTTTATTCTTCCTCCACTCACGAGTCCAACGTGGTTGGAGTATGTCACCAATTTGCATCTATTGTACTCGCTGTTGCATTGTATCTACTTTACTGTCCGGTCTAGGAGACCTTAAATCCTCTAAAGGTGTAATTCCTTTGGTGTTTGTCGTGCCCGAACGACTTCCCGTGGTCTGGTATAGTTACCTGCCTACGTTTGTGGTGAGTTCCTAAGAGACCAACTAGGACGGTGGAAACTAGAGTTCGAATGGCTCATGCCTAGAACACAAAGGTTCGGCATTTCCGAGACTAAAGTCTGGTTTAAATACCCAGAGGTATATCCTCGGCTTGAAATCTGTATGGCAACCCCATAGATTGAGATAGCATCTGTATGCGCCTCAATTCTGGATACTGATCCAACCTAGTCTGTCACCCTGTTGGAGAATAGGGAAAGCTGCAACCATAGTCAGGGAGAAAAGTAGTACCTATGGTTCAACTGAGAAGAAGAGGAAGATTCCCACATCAGCATGAGGTAGGACATTGCTGAGGTAAGTCATTACCAATTACCCCTGTAAGATACCTTTACCTCTTAGCTATTACATTGCATCTTAGCCACTACATTGCTGTGCATTGCATGAATCCTCAATTTTCAAACCGGCTTCGCGTAGCGTATATGTCCAATTATCAAATCGGCTTCGCGTAGCGTATAAGTCCAATTATCAAACCGGTTTCGCGTAGCGTATAAGTCCAATTTTCAAACCGGCTTCGCGTAGCGTATAAGTCCAATTATCAAAATATTCCTATATATCATTTTGCACCTTGCCCCCTGCTTGCGGGCATGCCTGCGGGCACATCTTTGTTATCTTGTCTGTTTGTCTAAGTCTTCGGCCTTGTCAAAAATGGGTCGTCTCTGGGCTTTGACATTCACTCCCGTCACGTGTGACTTTCGAGTTCTGTCAAAGAGGGGCAACTGTAGACACCCCATTTTGACCGACCTTAAGACTCAGACGTCACCGATTGAGCGCTTGGTGATGTTGCATATTGTGCTCGTTCTGAGGTTTCAAAGTCTCGGCTGCGAGCCTTGCCTCCGGACTTCCGGACTCTTTCATGCTTTGCCTCGGTTTGCGAACCAGGCTTTGTTTTCTCCGTTTTCTCTTCCCGAAGGGAGGGAGAGGTCTCGTAGATCATCTCTCAGTGGCCGTAGGCTACGTTTCGTGGTCGTAGGCCATTTTGCCCGTTTGGAGTCCGGTTTCCGATTTTTCGGAGCCGTTGGCCGTGTGCCTCGGTTCGGGACCGCTTAACCACCTCCGTTTGCTCCGGTTTTTGGCATGCATCTTATTTGCTCCCTTTTGAGGGACACTGTGTCTCGAAAAACTAACTTCGGGGTCGAACACCACTTCCGGTGCCTAACAGTCAGTTTTCGGGGCCTCGGGCTGTGCATTTCGGCCCCCGAACCTCCATTTTGTATCGGTTTGAGTTCATTTTTTGCAGGAACCTCTGTTTCATTGTTACGAAGGTCGTAGAAGGGTGGGAGGCCAGTAATTGTTCTGACAACTAGTTTTATTCCTCCATCGCCCTCCGTCACTCGTTTTTCCTCACTCGAAAGCCAATGTTGACCACCCTAAGGCCACTTTTTCTTGCCCCAAACCACATATTTATGTTGTACAGACCTGGGAGGCCACCAATATCACATGGCCGGCCAGTAATTCTGTGTGACACTTTTGAAGCCCTCCAAAAAGTGGGCTTTTCTCTCTCATGGTTTACTTTCTCCAGTTTTTTACCATATGGTTGTGTTGTGCACACATGGGAGGCCCTCTTTCTGGCATGGCCGGCCATTAATCTTCATTGACACTATTTCTTGCGATACTAGTGAGTCATCATCAATTTTTCTATCTCATCTGTATTATGCAGTGCAAGTGCAAATTTCTATCTCTTTAAAGCATATTTGTTGTACTTGCAGGTTTGTGCTCCAACAGGAGCTGGTAAAACAAATATAGCTATGATTGCTGTTCTACATGAGGTGTCCATTCAATTCCTGAACCTGTTTTTCTATGATTTCTTGGAATTCAATCTTTTCTGTTGTACTTGTTGTGCCAGGATAGAAGCATATTGGAGAGGTTAGAAATTTTGGTTTGGAGCTCCTACATTGTATCTCTCTCTCTCTACACTCCAACCCTCAAAACCTCCCAAACCCTACACCATTTCTACACCACCACCTAGCACCACACCACCACCTTCCATTCCAGCCACTTGGAGCTGTTTTCCAGAGCTAAGGAGCCACCAAACTTGGTCCAAGAGTTGTCAAAGATTTGGTCTTCAAGGGTAAGTCTCCTTCTCCCTCTTTCTTGCCTATTTTTGCTCAATATATTAGCTCCTCTTGATTGCATATTTGGGCTCCGACCCTAACTGAAAATAGCATTATTTTGAGCTCTTTTTCATGTTTGTTTAAGGTCCTCTCCCTATTTGAGGCTTCCTTTTTACACTTGCTTCTTTACCTCTCTTGTATGCCTCTTTCTTGCATAGCATTTTAGGCTCATTTGTAAATTGTTTCAAGCTTGGTTATAAACTGTAAGGTGGCTTATTTTGAGCCCTTATTCAACATTGTTGGAGGGATCTTCACTTTTTGAGGCTTCCTTTTGTCACTTGCTTCTTTATCCCTCTTTTAGCCTTATTTTTGCATGTTTTGTTAGCCCTTTGTGCTTGTATTTTTGGGCTCTGGTCCGAACTGTAAAGGCTCATATTTTGACCCCCTCTTCATGTTTGATCAAGGTCCCTCCTCTTTTTGAGGCCAGCAACCATCACTTGCTCCTTTGTCTCCCTTTTGGCCCATTTCTTGCACAATGTTTTAGGCCTGTTTGTGTTTAGATATGTGGCTTATTGTAAACTGTAAAATGCTTCATTTTGAGCCCCTCTTCAACTTTGTTGAAGGGATATTGGCCATTTAGTGCCAGCAGCTACTAGTTGCTTCTTTATCTCTTGTTTGGGGCCATTTTTGCATGCTAGCTTAGTCCTATTTGTGTTCATTGTTTGGCCTTGATTAAAACTGTAAATATGCTTGTTTCGGGGCTGCCTTGAATCTGTCTTCACACTTCATGTTCGAATAATGCATGCTTTGCATAGCTATAGGCCATTGCGTGTGCCTAGTTTTGTGTTTCGGGTCTCATTTCATGCATTGGGTACCATATTGCCATGTTACGGGGCCATTTTGCGTCATATTTCGGTACTGAAATTTGCATGCTAGTATGCCATATTCCATGCCTTGCCATGTCTTGTTAGAGTGGCATTTGGTGCCTTAGGTTCGGTCCTCGGTTTGCGTGCATATGTGCACGCATTTCGAGTGTCTCATTTTCATCTCATGGCTACTAATGTGAGTGTGGCTGAGGTCGACTCATGTTGGTGTAAGTCCATCGTGCATTGTGTATGCCATTTCATTTCATAGCATTGTGTATGTTAGGTTGCATGTTAGCGCATTGTGTATGCCATGTTACCTCGTGCATCGTGTATGCCATTCCATAGCATTGTGCATGCTAGGTTGTATGTTAGCGCATTGTGTATGCCATGTTATCTCGTGCATCGTGTATGCCCTTTCATAGCATTGTGTATGTTAGGTTGTATCTTAGTTACATTTCATACATATCATGCATATTGCATTGTACTTGGGATAGGAGTTAGCCCGAGCACGGGAAACGAGGGACGTTTCGTACTTCGAGTGACGGAACGTGTTTCAATTCCCAGTCACCGACACTCCGGATTATCCATGATGGAGTTTAGGTCTTGTTGTGTTTATATGTGCATCATTCTATGGAGTCGTTGCAATTCGGACTCTCGGCCATCATGCATCGATATGCGTGATGTGGCACGAGAACCGAGGACTACACTCCCTAAAGAGTAATCAGCATACATATGTGAAAAATACTTTGCCATGACCCTTTGTTGTCTCTGTTGCAGCAATTCAGAAATCGAAGCCTTCGGAGCTGGCAGCGCTTCCAAGAACACAATATCAAACAGGGCCAAAACCGGGAGCATCGCGAGGGATTTCTCGCACAAGGCACCCGAGCATGATCATTCCATCTCGGAGCAGATGTTGAGCAGTCCCTGCTTGCATGCCAATTTCATTGCTTGCCTAATTTAATTTGTTGATTAATTAGGATTTGTACATATTTTGACTGTAATAATTCATTACCGGACTGCTATATTATTTATTCGGACCCTCTGCGCGAGGGGCAATGTGTAATAATGTGCGTGGAGTGTGATGTATGTCTTCCAACCCCACGTCTTTCTCCCTTTTAATTTACCGCTTTATGGTTTAGATTTAGGGACATGTTTCAATTGCAACAAGTATAGATAGCACTTGTTTGCATTTATTCATCTGTCTTTTCAGCACCGGGCCGGCGCATTCATACTAACTGCATGTATTTTCGATTCCAAGTTGAATACATGTAATACTGTAGCTCTTCAGTTATGCCAATGTTTAGAATAGAGCCTGCTAGTAGTTGCATTTTTGCATGTGTGCATTAGGTCATTTCCGTATAATTAGATCATGCATGGATTTCTATTAGCTTCTTTTTTGGCATTGGGCAGTACTCGTAAGTTTTAGCTCTTAGCATCCTTGCATGTATAATTGTGTGAGTGACTGTCGATGAATAGCATGCTACCAGGAGGCTATATTGCTTATGTGTACTAACTTGCCTGAATGGCCTGGCTGGGGAAGGTTGGGTTATTTGAATTGGAACGAATTCATCAAATATTGTGTTTTAAGCCCCCTAATGGCTGCCAAAAATCATGTTCTTCTAAGCCCACCCGAGTGTGGCAAATCCACGGTATTAGCCTACTTGCGGTAGCACCATGCAAACAGTTTTCAACAAACAAACATGAAATGTTTTTTCCAATTCAGGCGATCTTAGTCTATCTTGTTGCTGTGCGGCATCACCTAGTAAATCTAGGCTAATAACCGGAATAAAACCATAATGTTTTCAAAAATTGATATCATGGTTAGTAGAGGCGCGACTTTGTCGGCGAGCGGGGTGCTCACTAAGTTGACCTTCCCCAATCGTAACCCCAAGTTCCCGAGCCGAGGCAACTTTGGTGAGACGGACACTGGCCTTTGGCAAAACAGTCAGGTTTCCTAAATTTTCCAAAATAAAATTTTAGTGCGACTCTGTATCTGGCAAAGCAGGTCCATGTTTGACTTCTTTTTTTTCTTTTTTTTTTTTTCTTCTTTATTTTTTTTTCTTCTTTTTTTCTCTTTTCAGAAATCTGTTTCTGCAAAACGATTTGCCGGATTTGACTCTTTGGTTCAGGATTTGAAACCATGACAAATTTTAGAGTCCTGAGCTTAGTGGCCCATATCGGACAGAACGGGACTCGTTCCTCCCGGGCGTTCGGGGACGTCTCAGTTTTGGCCGACTCTCCTGGGAGTTAGAGAATTTTTACTCGAACTCATGATAATCTGTTTTTACTACACTTGTGTGTTTCTTTGCATTGCATTTGCATTGGGCGCCTAGGAACACCGTGTTTGCATCGTGCATTCCTTGACGGTTTCGGAGGCTGTGTCTTGTCAAGCATGACCATAAGTGACCGATGTGGCTTTGCCAGTATGGGAACACAAAACCCCGTTATCGGGGCACCCTTTTGACCATTCGACCTAGTGCATATTCGGATCCATAGTGACCATTCCAAACTAGGATAGGTTGCTTACCCAATATAGGTTGTTTGAAACCGCTGCGTGCGTAGTGAAACCCTAGCTCCTGACAAAATAGGATAGGGAAACCCTACCCCAACATAGGGGTGTTTTGGCTCTCACTTGCTTGCTCTGTGTTTTTAGGGTGTGTCCCTACAGGAATGCATATAACAGTTTGCAAGTTTGGGCATTAGGCCTGCGGGCACCGGTTCAGTATTTTGGGATTCAGTTTACTTGAGGGTATCAGTTTACGGGCAGAATTCTGTGGAGGCACAATCATTCAGCTCTGCTCATATGGGTTATCGTGAAATCCGGCTGTGATGCTCTCTGTTTTCCCTTTTGCTAGGTTGTCCTGGAACCATAGCTTCAGAAGGCTCCAATATCCCCCAAGGTTCATCGAACTTGTGCTGATAGACTCTGTCAGGTCAGAGAGTCAGTTCAAGGGCAATCAGTGTTCCTTTGCCAGAGGCAGGGTAAAAGGGCCAATCAAGCACAAATCACTAGTTCAGCAGTTACCAGATCAGTGGCCCTTATCCGCCCCACCAGTGAACAGTCAGGCTGAGGTCTCAGTTTCTACTGCAGGGATAGATACCAGTCAGTTAGATGGATCAGCATAACACATCAGGGATGAAGGCAATGATGCGCCAGATGCAAGAAAGTATGAAACTCATGCAGCAAGATGCTGTCCGCCAAGCTGAATTCGCCAAACAGCAGGCTGCGGTCATGGCCTAACAGGCAGAGCTAATCACCAGATTCAACAGCAAAACGGAGCATCTGCTTCGCATCAAGCACCCCCCCACCAGTAGATCCAATACCCGGGGAGACGCCAAATGTCCAAAAAGGTACGGACATTCCGACAAGGCCGGCTCCGCCCCTAATCTTACCCCAGCTGTCTAAAGCGCCAATCAACCCATCGGACTCTCCCTTTGAGTTCGAGGTAGACCATACAGCATTGAAGTTGAGCAAGCTTGAAAAGTTGTTCAAGAAATCCCAGGGGGTAAAGTCCATCCCGGACATTGAGGACGGGTACACCGACGCAGCTGTGACACTGCCGGACCGGTTCAAGATGCCTCACATCGACCGTTTTGATGGGTCAGGAGATCCCTTGGTCCACCTGAGTTTGTTTTCAAATGTTCTGCGCCCGATGGGCTTGACAAGATTACAGAAGCTTTCCTTTTTTGGCAGGACCCTGTCGGGTATTGCGGCCATTTGGTACGCCAAATTGGAGGATTCAGTGAAACGAAGCTGGGAGGAGATGGCCGAGGCCTTCGTCGCACAATATTCATACAATACCCAAATCGAGATTACGACCCGTGATCTTGAGACGACGAGGCAGGAACCTAAGGAGAGTTTCTCAGAATTCGTGGCCCGCTGGAGGGCCAAGGCCTCAATGATGACCATTAGGCCAACGGATAAGGATCAAATACGGATGGTTGT